AGAAATAAATTAAATACATATAAATATATTTTCTGATTTTTTTTCTCCATATTATGTATAAATTCAAAATTCAAGGGACTCTTAATATATTTCGAATTGTCGAGTGTTTAACAATGATTTTTAGTTCGAATTACTGAGTGATAACTTTGAATTAATGAGAGGTTCGAAAAACCGCAGGCTTGAAATAACAAGAGTCGACTGTATTTATATATAACTGAAGGACTTGGACGTAGTAGTCACAGCCTGAGAGTTTTAAGTCACTTTGAACTTTATAACATGCCCATGTCTATATGGATATATTTAATACACACATACATATATCTACATATGTACATATTATGTTTGTGCGTTCTTAAAGCTCCCGCATCTCCTTTGGCGCATTTTTAAAGTTTTGCGCGTTTTAGGCATTATCCGTTTTAATTACATTAAAAGTTTTTGGCATTAAATAAATTGAAGCTGAGCGCTGAACTTATGTCACTTTGATCCCGGCTACATAGAGCCAAAAGTTACTTTTGCTGTTCAGCTTACGAGGGCACCCGCCCCGCACCCGCACCCTCACCCAACCCTCGACAAAGACAATGAGCCCCAGTCTCCCTCTCGGTGCGTCCCCATCTCCCTTTCTCTCTCGCTCTCTCACTCACACCCAGTCAAAGGGACACCAAGTCCTTTGCCTGTGCTGTATCTGCCGGCAGTTGGTGTTCAGTGAGTCGCGCGTAATCAAGTTTTAGTGTTTAAGGCTTTAAATTGAAATTCCGGCATTAGACAAGGAATTCAACTGCTGCTGCTGCTGCTGCTACTGCTGCTACCCCTATCTAAGGGTTGAAGGGGTTGAGTTGAGTTGAAATTTTTTGATGCTGCGCCGCATTGCGCGCATAGCTGCAACAAATGAGCAACAAATTGCAATCATTGAGCGCAGCAACACGGCCCATAAATCAATTATACAGGTACGGCTTGCAGGTGGCACTCGGAGTGGGGGTGGGGGTGGAGATGACTTGGGGTAGCTGTGTTTGTGGCAAAAACCAATCGCCGTTGGTTGTCTGAATGGCGGCTCTAATTAAATCATTATCGATATACACACACACAAACACACACACACAGATATATATATATATATGCATATGTATATTCAAAACTATCGCTGCAAGCACAGGTGAAGTGGCCAGGTGCCAGGCCAGGTCACCCACCCAGCCCACTGCCCTTGCGGCAAGCTTAAAGCAGCGCCGCTGCTGCTGCCAGCGCCGTCAACGTCATTGTATTTATTTCTCATGTTAAAATCAAATTCCCGCGTGTGCAATTTTTCATTTGGCCTGAAAATGAAAAGGAAGTGGAAAAATGTGTTAAGGTGCGTGCGAGTGTGTCCCTGTGTGTGTCTGTGTGTGTGTGTGTGTGTGTGCTGCTTGGGGGTTGCAGAGCTTGCTTCCGGCGGCATGCCTTGTCCTTGTCTGTAATAATGGGCAGAGCCCTTAAAGCGTGCCAACTTTAAAGAGAGACTGCAGCAGGAGCAGCAGCAGCAGGAGCAGCAGCAGCAGGAGCAGCAGCAGCGGCAGCGGCATAGGCGCGCACACACGTCGACAGGTAGCAGTGGCAAAGGAACATGCTACACACACACTATCACACACACACAACTCTAAACAAAACAAAATGCGTTGGCAAGGCAGGAGCAGCTAGCGGATGGCAGCGGGGGTGCAGGGCTGGGGGGCAGGCAGGGCTAAGGCAGCTGGCGACAGCAAAAGCAACGTCATTTTTGTTGCTGCCTCAGCTGAAGCCCGCAAGGATATGAAAAGGAGAGATACACAGAGAGAGCGAGCAGGAGGGCGAGCGGAGAGCGAGGGA